AAGAGCTATCACAATTGATAGATCTCTCACTTTGACATATTGTAAAAAGGATCTCTTAAATTTAACACATTTTCTGAGGACCATCTAAGCTATTCGTGCAAGTCTTGGTTGGTGTTATAGTGAATCTAATGTTCATTCATTTATTCATGTCCTTTTGATGACTATAACAAGAAATCCTAGTAGCTATTCACACTATTTCTTAAAGAATCATGGGAAATCAATGAATGGTTTAGCATTTATTATCAAGAACACATGCATGATTAAGCGGCTGAAATTGATTGAACATTTTTTTCTGTCGAGGCACGTGCTTGATTGAACTCTCGAAAAATTAAATCATTTTTTTAATAGGGAGAAATATTATAGTAATACACATAACAAAAAGTGTTTTTATGATACATCTTAGGCGTATACTATTTTTGTAGACCTTCTTACATAAATTTTACTATTTTTTAAATTATTTATTAAAAAACATATATTTATTTAAGCAGTAAGAAAATGTTTATTTGTTCATATGTAAGTCAATGGTGGGTAAAAAAAAAAGGAAGTACAAATTTTAATGCTGTCTCGTGTAACAAAATTTTCCAACTCCACCTGGTTTGTGTTTCAAGTCAATTAATTTCAACTAAACCATGTGGTATATGTACAAATCATGTGGTATTAAATTATTATTGACTCCCACGTACAAAATCACCCTCCTCCCCAACATAACAAAAACAATTGACCATAGTCGATCCAGAACAAAAACAATTGCGGTTATAGTGAATCTAATGTTCACTCATTTACTCATTCTTGTCCTTTTGATAATTATGATTATCAATCTTTGTCATTAATTTTAACGTTTAACTTCAACATATAAACCTAATGAGAATGTTATTTCACGATAGTTTTAAGTATTATGAGTATCATTTTTTACGTTAATTTGCACTATTAAAAAATTATCAAAAATACTAACGTTAGTTACAAATTTTAGTTCCAAATTAAACACAGTCTATATTTTCTCCATCTTTAACAAGATTCAACTTTCAACTTTCTTTCTATTATTATTTATAAACTTTTGCAATAAAATTATATTTTTTAAAACTACGTGAAAAAGCAAATAAGATTTTTTTATGGATGGAATATATACTTTTACACAATATATTTTTGTTTTAGAAAATCTTATATCATGGCTATGGAGGATCATGTGGACATATATTATTTCAAAAGTTTCCACTATGCCCATAAAGTTTGCATCAATCCTAATCCTTTTGCATGGGGAGAATCACTATAGTGGGGAGAGATAGTGCACTATTTGCTCATTCATACAATAATAATGTGACCTTTGTTTTTTGAGTGCACAATAATAATGTGACCTTTAATTTAATTTGTCCTATAAATGAAATAATGGTCTTTGATGGTGAAGTGCTGTCTAGACAATAAATATAAATTGGTTCAAACTTCATCTCACTAGTCACATATCAAATGGTTCAAGTGGAAATTCAACCCCACTATTAAAAATGATGTTAGGGAACAACTTTGCACATTATTAGCCAGGGCTGGCCCCGAAGATACGGTGACTCGGGACAAAACGAAAAAACTAAGTCTTGACCATAACAAATTAAATTATATAAATAATTTTCTTTAAAACCACAATTAACATTGTAGTAATACATATAACAATGTTGAAGCATTATAATTAAATATCATATTATCTACTTTAAAATATAAGTTCTATACCAATTTTCAAACCAATGTTGAAGTATTATATGATATTTTAAAATATCATATATATATATATATATATATATATATATATATATATATAGGGGCTGGATCAAGTGAGAATGCACCTTGGTAAAAGAAATAAGAATAAAATCTAGCCTTTGGATCTGATGCATCGTGCGGCTCAGATTGCATCCTGCACTCAGATTTTGAGATAGTGCATTTTCAAAGGTTTTTGGTGCATTTCGACATGATGCATATTTAGACCATTTTGGTGCACCTAATTTTGATGCAATCCTAACCCTTAGATCTCACAATCTAAAGCACCATATTCATTCTTATTTCTTTCATAAGATCGCATTCTCATTTGAACCAAAATCTATATATATGTATGTATGTATGTATATACATATGTATATACATACACATATATCTATACATACACATATATATGTACACACACACACATGAACATTGTCGTCGAAGATTTTTTGTTGAACAATGAGGGAAATGATAAGAGAGAAAAATGATGAGAACAATTGATACCATATGATGTTGTTTGATTTAGTGGAATTTTTTACTTATGTGATAGAGATTTGTCTAAAGAAATATTTGCACTAAATAGCACTAAAACTTAAGTCATTTCTCAAAATAGCACTTAGATTGTTTTCTTCCCTAAATAGCAGTTTATAATGTCCATAATGACAAGTGATAGCAAACATTTACTTGAATAATGACTAATGGATAATGACTAAAAGTGCTACATTGAGAAAAAAAACATATGTAGTGCTATTCAAGGAAAGTCATTATGTTCTAGTGCTATTTAGGTAAATTCCTCTTGTTTAAATTACGTGTTGGATATTTACTTAAATACGTGATTGATATTTGTCAAGACGACAATTCTTTATATCATTTTTTTCATCGAATGATTTAATTTATTTTTGTAGTTCTAATAGTATCATCACCAGTTACAGCCTTCACCTATTTGGTTATTAGAGTCTAAATTCTAAAAGTAACAAAGTCAGCATTGGTGCATTCTATCATCCTTGTTTCAAAACATATTGTTAGCGTTTTCAATAAAAATTTAATAAAGTAGATTTAGTATGAAAACACTAAACTAAACGCTGCATTTGATAATTGTTTCAAAATGCTAAGAGGGTGTTTGGAATTGCATTTGAAAATAACTTATAGCTTCTACTTTACTAAAACATAATTTTAAATATTTGTTAATCTACTTTAGCTTATAAAATATGGCTTTAGAAGTTAAAATTAAGGTCTAGAAATGCTTTTTAGCGAAGCTAAAAATACATGCTTTCTGCTTCTAAATTATGAATCCTACTTTTACATAACTCACTACACTCCCAAACACCCTCTAAGTCTAAACCCATGTACTCCTCAACTTATTTTTTTACTTATTCTTATTAGACTTAAATTAGATCAGAACATTACCCAATAGTACTAAAACATTATGACTTTCTCAATGTAGTACCATATGTTTTTATTTTCCAATGTAGTATCATTATTCAATGTCCACTGGTCATTGTTTAAGTAAATTAAATGTCCAGCGCCACCGGACATTGTTTAAACTAAATGTCCACTACCTCCGTCCCATAATGTTTTATCCATTTACTATTACGGTCTTTCGATAACTCTTATTTGTTTGCGTGTTTTCATTAATCATTTGATAAAATAAAATATACTTGTCACCTCTTTTTTTTTTAAAGTTTTCGATGTAGTTTTTAAATACAAATTTTTTATTTTGTATTTCTTTACCAATTTGTAAATAAAATCATTTCAAAATTCACGGGATTTTGCACGTTAATCGAAATGGATAAAACATTATGGGACGGAGGGAGTATGTTTTAGTACTATTTGGTGCAAATTACACTTATTTTTATTATTTGTTTAGATACAAAAAAAAAGATGGATTATTATCATCAATCAATTCAATAAAACTTCAGTTTACTCCGCGCAAATTTAGTCCCCAAAGTCTACTTATAAGTATTTGGACTTTGGAGTAATGAGTCCAAATCCTGTTGGCCCGTCCATGACGTTTAGAGGCCCATGTAATATGGAAGGACATTCGATAAAAGAATGGGTTGTTTTGGTCCACACCAGATTTCTATATTTGGGCCTTATATTTCTACTCTATATAGGTCTACGTTTTTTTATTCTCTTCATTTTATTGGAGAACTAATTATTGACATTATTGTAAATCAATGCAAATATCTCTCTTCATTATTATATTTCAAAGTAAGGTTTTCATGACATTGAGTTTCAACATTATGGAATGACATTGGTTCCAACTCAACTTATGCCGACCCGTTTAAAAAAGTAATGGTTCCTACACCTCTGACTTTGCCTAATCTGAATCAATCCCCCGCTCCCTTCAATTACGTTCGCCAATTTGACTCCAAAGTTAACTAAAATTGGATAGCATAATTGAAGGGGTCAGAGGTCGGTCCGGATCAAGTCAACGTGGGAAGTTTTACTGTAGGAAAGAGAGGAGGGTGAACAGTCAATATTTCGAATGAAGCACCATAGGATCCCAATTAGATCCCAAGTCTTAGTTTGAGATTGGAGTTCGATGTCATTTGAACCTTCCCGTATATTTCTACTATAATTCATAACTTGCACGTAGCTCATCACATTCCAATTCCACCACCACGACTGCTTTCTATTATTATTCCTCATCTCATGGCATTGTAAGTGTCCATCGTGATTAAGGATGACACAAGTTGGGATTAGTTAAGGTTTTAGTATATTCAAACCTAACCTGAATTAGTTCATGTTCAGGTTTGATTTAGGCAGGTTGAGTTCGGATATATTTTTTCGGTTCAGATTCGAGTTAAAGTTTGGTCGGAACGGCTATTTTAGTATATTTTCAATGTTTTAGTCTTAGTTTGGTCTTTCTCCCAACAAGTAGACTAGGAGTAGAAAAGAAAAATAGCCAAAATAAGAAGTGAAATTTGCACTGAATATGACTAAAACATAAGTCATTTCGCAATCTAGAACTTTACCTTTTTATTCTCAAAATAGGACTTAATAATGACAAGTGATCTTAGAAGACTAATGTCTAAGTGATGCTGAACATTTAGTTGAATAATGACTAATAGATAATGACCAATGGTCCTATATTGGAAAATAAAAAATATGGTCCTATATTGAGAAAATCATTATGTTTCAGTCTTATTTACGTAAATTACCCAAATAAGAATAATTTAAATAATTTACATGCCACACCAAAACTCAGCAAAGCATCCTGCCAGTGAAAAAAATCGGCACTCCATCGCCGCAACCTGCCACCCCTAGTATCACCACGTCTCAGCCGCTGCCAAATCCCAACCCCAAGAACTTCAATCTCTATCCCCGCAGTGCTCTGCTCCGCCCATCGCGCAACAACAAACACACACGATCCACCTATTGATTTTTCATCGTCACTGCCGACATTTTTGTTCTCTACCACTGTCACCCACACCACAAAATCAATATCATCGTAGGCGTCCGGCATTAACAGTTAATATAGTACCAAAGAAAGAAATAATGTCAAATCTAACACCATATAATATCACACATGGCAATGCATTACACCATTGATCTCCATATGTAATGTCATACATGTCAATTCACAGTTTCACAAAAGGCATAATGCTAATATTCGACCTAATGCTTTTATATGCACAAGTGCAAGACGACCATCACGCGTTTCACATCCACTTTTATGGTGACTGGATCAGAAAAAAGCTTAAAAATGGAAAGAGCACATCTAGAATTAGCAAATTCAGATCAATTTTACAAAATCATTTCCTAAGAAGCAAACACATGGAAACTAAACAACCAGTTTATAGGCAAATTTAGATACCAATTGAATCAAATAAACCAAAAGAGATGCAAATGGAAAAGGCACGACAACAAAGCGGAAAGGCGGTGGAGGAAGGGAGGTGGCAGGGATGACAACAGGGGGTCGCCGGCGACGATGCTTGGGGCTGCCAGGGCTACCCGAAGGAGAAGTGAGAAGGAAGCTAAGGGAGGTCGCTAACTGCATTTTTGGGAATATGTCTAATAATTTACTCCTATTTATGATTTTTTTTAAAGAAGCAAGAAAAAGACATAATGTGAAGCGTCTCAATGCGGTTAAACTAATGCTTAAAAGAAAGAAGTTCCACACAATCAAGTATTTCTAAAATAAATTGGAAAACCTTATTTAAATGATGACGAACGACAGTCTTAGACATGCGACTAACAACAATGGAATGGGACGATCGGACGACGACATCATACGATGAACAACATGCACCCTTCTACGACCATATGTTTGATGTGCCTAGAGATAGCAACCAGAAAATCTTGATTCCTTTCATACAACTTTTCATAATTAACAAAGTTAACAAAAAGAAAATGCATACCTTAATGGGAGATGATCCAGTTCTCCTTCACCAACGGCTGGGTCATTCGTTAAGTAAGATTTTGTCAGGTAACAATTTTAATAAGGTTGGTTCAGTCCAAAACTTAGACTCTTCTCACATTTTTTTCTGTTCAAACAAACTCGCTTTGATTTTTCAATAATAATATGAAAAATACACTCAAATATTTTTTAAGTCATTATTGAAAGGAATTGGAAGAAACTAGAAACAGTTGGAAAAAAAACTCAAAAGAGAAACATTGAGAGGAATTGTAAGAAACTATTAAGACTTTAAAAAAACCTGAAGAAATTCAAAGAAGTTAAAAAGTGTTAGAGGTTTCACTTAAGTTATTTTCAAATTACAAGAGTACTCTCTCCATCAAAAAAATTTCTTCTCGTTGCGCGTTACGATGTTTCACTTAAGTTATTTTCAAATCATTTTATATGAAAATTGGTGTAGAATTTTAAAAAAGTTACATATTTAACAACTACATCAAAATATTAACAGAATTAGATGAAGCATGATTATGTTATTTTATCAAATTGACAACAAAAATAGATCAACAAAGTGAATAAAGAATGACCATATGAATAAAAAACAAGAAGTTTGCCAAAAAAGACCCTATGTTAATTGGAATTTAATAATGAACTGTAATGTAACACCCCGAAACATACCCTAGAATTATTATTAAATAATTACTCGATTAAACAAATTTGTTTTGATTATTATTGGGCTTTGGGCTGATATGAAATATTTTTTTATCCAATATCAAAATCTGGATAAGTCTAATTGAGATAAATCCAATATGTGGACTATTTGTGTGGTCTTGATTGGGAACCTGAGTACAGACCCAAATCAAGAATAAATAAATTAATTAATTATGATGTGAACCTTGTAATGATTTATTGAAATAAATCATGAGAACAATTGATATGAATTAAATGAGAGAACCTTTTATGAGAAAGGTCAATTAAACCAATTTCGACTCTGTTAAAGTCAAACACCCAAAAATATGATGTCGGAAAAAGTATTACAAATAAATATAAAAATTATATCGTTAGATAGAGTTTAACTGCCCGATCGCAACGGTGCAAACGGAATTCAATTCGGAGAAAGTTGGACCAAAAAGTGTACCCCGACTGGAACCAAAATTGGTCCCAATCAGGGACACTGTGCGAACGGCGCCTCCTTCCCCACTACGCCGATCTCAGAGTCATAGTTGTTTTCTTCTTCTCTCCTTCTCATTATATAAGAAAACCCAACCTTCTCATTTCTTCACCATTCTTCTTCATTCTTCTTCCATTGTGTTCTTGAGAGTGTAAGGAATATTGTGGTGCTGCCAATTTGGTGTGAGGTCGCCGGAGTTGAGAGTAATCATCGCCGGAAGTTTCGCCGGAAAATATCCAAAACCTTCGTTAAGCTTCGAGGTAAGCCCCTAGATATATCTAAGGACTAGAATGTTCATATAGGTTGTTTCTACGTTCATAAATGGTCATTTGGTTGAGTTTTGTGTTTGACATACTTGAAGAACTAAGAATCATAAACCATGAAATTGATGTTAAAATTATGAATTAATGATGCTAAAATGATCCATGAACCTTGGAGAACATTTTTATATACTTTAATTGAAGTTTGGTGAGTAAAAGTGACATTTCCGCAAGTTGGCTCGAGGTAGAAGACGATGGATAATCGATTATCAACTTGAAAA